AATAGAGTTTATGTGTGTATTAGATACCAATGCACATCAAACAGCCATCGTTTCCAGGATGTAATTATATGCCTGAAGTGGTGCAGAAAGCATGTTTTTCTTTTTGTACATGTTTAGTATGATTTTGAGAAATCAGGAGCTCATTGATTATGTATGCTTGCTATTGGAAAGTGTTGATTTAATCAGTTTGCATTGCACAGTTGTTTTATCTGTAATTGTTGTCTCAATTTCCCCCTCAACACTGTTCATTTATACGAATGAAATGTTGACAAGGACTTTTTGTGGCTTGTTATCTATGCAAACTGGTTTCTGAGTAAGCAAAGATGGTTCACATTTTGGGGACAAACACAAAGTAAATTTACAATCCGGAAGCCCACTTCAATAATTGACTGGTTCCTTTTTCAATAATCTACCAGACTGTGTGGTCACTCATGCAAAACTACGAATGTTATCAAAATATTTTTCTATATTTAAAATGGAGTGGAACCAAATCAATGATGAAATCCTTTAATGACAAACACTCACTGAAAGGGAATGTTTTTATTAATTTATAAATGTTTTACCTGGCAATACTTGTGGCTTTTTGGTGTTTATTTCTGGGGAAATCCTCTGATTGTGTAAGATTTTGGTTGATTGCAAATACATTAGACATAATGATCAAATAATGTATATGAATTATGATCACATCACCCAAATAAACACCTACAGTAAAACTTTCTCTAATCTTCTGCTTGGACTTATAAAGACTTAAGAAGAATATTTGTTTTTTTTATAAATTTGGCCTTTAAAAATAAGAGACTAATTATTTCAAACAGTTGCTGTACAGACTGGTTTTAGGCTACAGAAAAAAAATAGATGAAACCTTTAATGTCGTTTTAAGATATCATTGACCCAGTTTAAGCCTCTATGCTTAATTCTAGGATTCTGTTTCTTTCCAATTTCTATTTTCTCTTCCTCAATTTTTGATAGAAGTCTTATTCCTCTTCTCTGGAGAAAGACTCAGAGACAGGAATGCTGCGATACTGATGAAACTCCTCATGTCTGTGTCAAGTTGCCTTTTTAAGTGGTCTTATTTTTCGTATATTACCCATTTATAACAAACAACAAAATTTATAAATGTATTATATTTACAAAAATATTACAAATTTTTGTATATTTAACTGTTGATTCTTTAAAAATACATTATATATCTAAGTTCAGAGTCAGAATAATCTGATGTTCATCAACACTTTTGATCATAGGACAGTTTTTGAACAAAATATTAGAAATGTATAACGATTATTGAAGGATCATTCACTAAAGACTGTACAGGGCATATTAAGTGGAGATCGGTATTGGAGAACAATTTATAAATGCTTGATTTATTTTAGAAATTGTTCAAAATTAAAATTAAATTATTTTAATTTAATTTTAAAATTAAAATTTTAAGTTAAATTATGCTCAACCCAGGCTCGTTCTGATTACGAACCCCTATATACATTTCTGGAGAGAGCAAAAGAAGTCCCAGGAGCTACTTTTTTTTTTTGCAGTCTTTGTTTTCGCAAATCTACCAGAGGCCACTCTGTACGCTTCTTAAGATCTCAAATTTCTCTCACGAGTGCCATTTGCACCTGCTGTTCTCGCGTAAATCCACTAGAGGCTGCTGTTGACTTACTGATTTACTGACTGACCAACTGATCAGTCCCCCAAACCTCCTTTTCTAAACCCAACCAATAGTGTTTTCAAAAGCACAGATTGACCTGCACACCCCTTCCTTAAACCCGATCAACAGATTTAAAAGGCAATCTAGATAAAGAAAAGCCCTGATTCCCCCCCCCCCCATTTTCAAATTTGACCACATTCTGACTCTGTTAATTACTTGTTTATTTAATTTTTTAGCTTTTATTTTGGCTGTCCTACTTTCTGGAACCATTCTTCACCGGACTCGAACCCTGTTATTGCAGTCAACTCAGCTCATGTGTCTCAAGTACGCTGACATAAATGGTAAGCTACCGAACAAACTGGCAACAGCAAAAAAACTGTTAAGGGTCAAGCGGGCAGCTGGTAAGCGAGAAAAGGAGCGGTGTCATACTACATATAGTTTGATTTAAAGATGAAATGCAGTCATATGTGGCTCTGGGTACATAATTCGCGATCTCCAGAAATGTATATAGGGCTAGGTTTTCAGAATGAGCTTATGTTAATTATGCTAGTAAAAGAATGTTTTATAAAACGACTAAAGCACATCTGCGTCCACAAGACATCAGAAGTCTGCTGTGAAATTGATCTGATTTTTTTTTTTCAGTTTCTTAATCAGTTTACTGACAGTCAGTTTCTAAGCCACAATATTGTTGTAAAGCAGGGGTCACCAAACTTGTTGCGAATCTTAGCTCCAACCTTAATCAAGCACGCCTGAACAGCTAATCAAGGTCTTACTATGCATACTTGGAACATCCAGGCAGGTGTGTTGAAGCAAGTTGGAGCTAAACCCTGCAGGGACACCGGCCCTCCAGGACAGAGATTGGTGACCCCTGTTGTAAAGGATTATTCAGAGATCTTCAATCAGGTTTACATCAGGACTTTGGGCACTTTTAACATTTTCTGCTTCAATGAACTGCATTTCCCATTTTGCTGTGTGACAAGGGTCATTGTCCTGCATGAAAAGTGTTGTCTGATTGTGCTGAACACAAAGTTCTGAATATTGCCTAACATTTGCATTCATGTAGCTTATAAGATAACTCCTGCTACACATTTCGTCTCCACTTTTCACTAAATTCAGGACACTTGGGTTTACCTGGTGTAACAACCATGTTTCCCATTCCAACATTAAACTTTGAACAGTAGTGTAAATAAACTTTGTGTTGTAGGTCCATGTACTCCACATACTACATTCATCTGCACATGGTGAGGAAAGAAGGCGAACTCAATCAGATCTAATAAAAAGCTAACCGTGGCTGTGACTGAAGTTATACAATAATAATTATCACCATAGCTTAAACAAATTAGTTTTTCCCTTAAAGATGTTGTAAACCGACCTTGATCTGAATTGAATCATTTTAATCGTTGTGCCTTTACAAATTCCACTCTCACACAAATTCAGTTTCACGAATCAATAAGCATGCATTCTTGAAGTCACCATTTATATAAACACTCCAGTGTGATGCTTTACATTTTATTTAATGTATTCGCTGCTCATCAAAGATGTGCATTTTGCCTTTTCAGATGTTTTGTAATTTAGCTAATTTATTCATAAATGTTAACTCATAACACATTCAATACATAAGTTGGCCATTGGACATGACTCTTCTGTAGCATTCTCAGCTGTAGAGACTATCTCATGATAGTCCCATTATTCAAGTGTTCATTAATGCAGTATTCTGACCTTAGATCTTCCTGTGGTGCCTATGTATGCACATGAAACGATTTCATATCAATATCTCTCTTAGATCAGTTCTATTCTAGACTTTGACAGTCTCTGGGCTGCATACATCACATGTCTTGATTAGTTAAATGCATGAAGAGTACACTTTGATTTATCTACAGCCGGTGCTCGCTCCTCAAACTCCCACATGATTGCCATTGCGTTGATTAGAGGTGACTCATGAAGTTGGTTATCCAATAGCTAAAATGATAATGTCAGATCTGTCTGTTCGTAGTCTGAAATTATCAGGTGAGATTTGTTTTTGAGATCTGACAGCATTTGCAATATGTTGTTAGTTAAAAGCTACAAAAAATGTGCAGAAAGTTGCATTATTAGAAAATAATGCACAACCGAGAGTGTCAAATACACTCACCGGCCATTTTATTAGGTACAACTGCTTGTTAACAAATTTCTAATCAACCAATCACGACAGCAACTCAAGGCATTTAGTTATGTAGACATGGTCAAGATGATCTGCTGCAGTTCAATCTGAGCATCAGAATGGGGAAGAAAGGTGACTTAAGTGACTTTGAATGTGGCATGGTTGTTAGTGACAGACGGGCTGGTCTGAGTATTTCAGAAACTGCTGATCTACTGGGATTTTCACACACATCCAACTCTAGGGTTTATAGAGAATGGTCCGAAAAAGAGAAAATATCCAGTGAGCGGCGGTTCTGTGGGCACAAATGTCTTGTTGATGCCAGAGGTCAGAGGAGAATGGCTAGACTAGTTCCAGCAGATAGAAAGGCAACAGTAATTCAAATAACCACTCGTTACAACTGAGGCATGCAGAAGGGCATCTCTGAACACACAGTACATCCAACCTTGATGCAGATGGGCTACAGCAGCAGAGGACCACACCGGGTGCCACTCCTGTCAGCTAAGAACAAGAATCTGAGGCTCCAATTCACACAGGCTCACCAAAAGTGGACAATAGAAGACTGGAAAAATGTTGCCTGGTCTGATAAATCTTGATTATTGCTGTGACATTCGGATGGTAGGGTCAGAATTTGACGTAAACAACACGAAAAAACATGGATCCAAGCTGCCTTGTATTAATTGTTCATGGTATGGGGGGTATTCTTGGTAAACTTTTGGGCCTATTAGTACCAATTAAGCATTGTGTCAATGCCACAGCCTACCTGAGTGTTGTTGCTGACCATGTTCATCAGTGTACCCTTCTGATGGCTACTTCCAACAAGATAACGTGTAATGTCATAAAGTGCAAAGGTGTACTTAATGAAGTGGCGGGTGAGCATTTTAGTGATTGGCATATTTATTCTGCTTATACCATGGTCCAAGTACGTCTGGACATTCGCAAATCAGCATGTTTTTATTTATTTATTTATTTATTATTTTATTATTATTATTATTTTTGATGGTACATTAATAGTAACAAAAAAAATACATTTCTGTTAAAGACGTTACAACATTGTTGATGGCTTTTGTAGGTGTAGATGTTAATAAAACGCAATTTAATGCATAACTTAAGCAAAAATAAAACTCGTTTTTTCCGCAGTACTCATCAGCCAATCAAGTATTCAATAAAACTAATATTTTAACGCAGGTCGTGACTATTTTAATTGCCATACAAAGGTCTTAAAATGCATCTTAATTTATACAATTTCAAACACCAAGGTTACTGGTAGTTAATTCAATTAGTGCGGTACTGTTTCCTAGCAACATGGGACAACTAGCAAGAGCTAAAGAAAAAAACAGAAGAACTTGTGCTGGAAAGAAAGGAGGGCAGTGACAGAGGAGCAGGTGACAGACACTCAGGTAAGACCTTCAACTTTTATTCAGTTTTTATAAGTTTAGACCAGTTATTTTTGTCTGGTGTGATTGATTTTGTGTTGAATAGTGTTTTGAAATACTCGATACTCGTGTTTCAGTGACCAATGACACGGTAAATTGTGTTAAAAACAATAATAAAACTACTGAACATAGTTTTAATGACTTTTAAAGCGGTCGATGTGTAGAATTCTGAATTGTGTTTTTCATAATTCGTAGTTGTGAATTCTTCATATTGTCTGTTTCGTATAGCGTTAGTGGTTTGTTTAGAAGAGTTTAATTCTGAGTTGAATGATTTACCTAAAAAATACTATTAAAATTGATAAAGGTTAATTGTAAACTAAAAATGTTTACTTGCTTTTATTCACTGTCCCTGTGCAAAGTCTATACACCGTTTATCATCATCAATCCCTCATAGATAATGTAAGAAGTAATGTGAGAGGAGAGCTTCAGAAAAGACACAGGAGAACACTGAAGCACATGCAGCATATCAAATAACTCTGCCTGCGTTGTTACCTTTATGTAAATGACTGTTCACATTTGTAATGCAATGGTTTAATGTTAACTTTCCAAAAAAGTAGAATAAAGACATACTTAGACTCATTAGCATTACTTTTTCAAGATTAATAAAACACTAAAATTCATTTTAATAGAATCATTTCTTTAAACACTTCAGCTTTGGTTTGTCAGATTTTAAGCCAACAAAACTATCCAGAGAGAAATTTGCTGATTTGGCAAATGGAGGAACAGTGAACAGTCCCATATGTCATTATTTCAAATATTCTCCTGTCTGGCATTTCCTGCTGACGTCTGCAATTCTCCGTTATTTTATTCAATTACCTCTCCAACAGATATAATTTGGCCTAATCGCACAAAATAACATTACACAGAGTACATGCGAAGAGTAAGAACAATAAAATATTACTTTAATACTCAAGGGTACATTTTTGTTGAAAAGATGTCTTAAGTTTCACACTGTGCTGATCTCTGGGTAAATAATTGTTTCACATGTTATACTGTAAAAAAATTTAGAGACCAGTTTTAAACCATGGCAGGGGCGCCGTTAGGGGGGGATTTTAGAGTTAGGACGATTCTAAGGGCCCACACAGTTTTGGAGCCCGCAGCAGAGATAGTAGTAGGGGCCCAAACGAGCCAACCCCTTTTCTTAATTTGCTGATGTTTTTGTAATTGCACGTGTTTTCTCTAATTGCAGCACATTAAGCTCTCTCGGTCACCATACAAGGGTTCTATGTCTGGTACATAATGAAAGCCAACAGACAAACTTTCTGGCAATATTGATATTTCCAGAACATTCTAGTAAACAATAAAAGGCTTTATAGTATTTGACCCTTATAGTATTTTGACCTCTATAGTATTTTTTGTTCTTACAATCAGGGGTAGGCTTAAAGGAATTAAAGGGATCCCGACCAATGCCAAGAAGGCTATTAATCATATAGCTCTTTTATACATTTTCTATCAAATGTTGTAAAATCTCTCTATAACCTTTAATATTGTAATGTTATTACTTCTTTTCAAAACTGGGGTCCCCATGAATAATGGAACATTCTTTTTCATAATGAAAATGCAACTATATCAAAATCTAACCACAAAAATAATAACTGTACATGTTTGTAAGCTTGTTTTTTATTTGTGAATTTATGTTTTCATTTTAAATTAAGAAGATACATTTATAATAAAAAAGTTATAAAAAAAATAAAAATATAACTTTTATTGTGCAGTTTATTTACAAAAACAAAACAACACCAAAAGAAATCAACAGAGAAAAAAAATCTCTAGAGAAAGATAAGGTTTTGAGTTTCAATGCTCAGGCCCCATACCTGGAATTGCTATAATGGATGCCAACAGCAGCTTTTTCCAGCATTTCTTTAAAAAAATCTTGTTTTGTGTTCAACAGAGGAAAAAAAAAATCATAACTAGTATAAAACCACTAAAAGGAAATACATTTTTGTGTGAACTATTCCCATTCATCTCATGTAACACTGTGCATAAGCCCAGGTTATCTTTATTCCAAACTTTAGGCCAGAGTAAAAAAAAAAGGCCTTACATTTGTACATTAGAGTTATTATTTTTTAGCATTGCTTTTGCTGAATTACGAGTAGCCCAAAATTGTAGTACCAAACCTAAAACGAAAAACTACAGCTAAAAAGTTGCCTGGGGTTTAGAATAACCAATATCTAGTGTTATGAGCAACTTACATTTATCATTCATCTTAAGCACACACTGCTATCATACAATATATTCATAGCATGAATATTCAAGTCCTCTGTTAATAACCTAATTTGCTTTACTTGCAGTACCTCTGCCTCCCACCACACATGCACACTTTGGACTCGACTGCTTTAAACCATATCATGAATTAGGTATTTGAGCATTGTGCTGATGTGTAGCCTGATGTCACGCTGGGCCTGAAGGGGCCTGAAGAGCTGAGAAAGAAGGCTGCAGAGGGAAAATACAAGTGAGCAAAGGAGAGCAAGTGCACTTCTCAGGTTTTATGATGACATTTTTTTTTCTTTATAGTCTATCTTTTGCCTCCCACATATATGCTGTCCTCCTTCGTTCGCTGTCTGCCTCCCTGAATTTGAAATGCTAATAATCTTCTCAGCACTAGAAATATTCTGACTCTCTTTCTTCTATCTGTCTCTCCTTCTCCTCCGCTCAGATTTGTCTGTCTGCCACACTTTCTCTGTGCGCTCCACAGTAGTCTCTCTAGTCATTCCTCGGTTCCCTCGATCCCTGAGATCTGTCAGACTTTCTCAGCTTTCCATCTGTCAGTCAGAGTTAAAGTTTTATCACCTGCATCTTTCAATACTTTCTTTGCAACTGTTAAATACTAATAGACAAGGTATTAAAAGATAACTAATAATACTACTGCTCATAATAAGTATCATACTAGTATTATACTAATCAAAACCTTTCATAAAAGGCTGCTACATCTGTAATATAAGGCATTAAGAAAAGACATAACATGCAATGTGAACTGACAGTCAGAGAACACAAACAAACTGAACATCAGAATTGTTCTCTGGTCTTGTTTCACTGTTTGCCTTCTCAAGTGTGCTCAGCAACTGTTCCGCAAGACACAAAACCATATCAAATTCCAGACGTAAGCTGTTTAAGGTCTCCTACTTTCAGTTAGTACAACAGCCTGCAACAGTGAGTTGAGTGTTGAGTTTTCTCCAAGAAACATCTTAACTATCACTGTAAAAAAGGTAAGATAAAACACTAACAAAACTGCTTTGTTATGGTAGTTTAAATGTTTTAACCTTTTGAATCCAGAGCTTCAAAAATATGACATTTTTTAATGTTGTAACAGTCATAAATTTGATTGCATAAAACAATTTAGTAACTGTACCAGAATGAATTTGTAGGTGTCTTTGAACTATTTCAGAAAATTCGTTCCTGCTCTAGTGTCGCCTTAAGTACTTCTATAAAAATGTATTTCATGTTGTAATTTATGATAAGTTGTGCTAACCACAGTATAATTATTACATTTAAATGTATATTACTATAAAAGAATTGTTGCCTTATTTTTAGATATCATTATGTAGTCATGGCTGCTGTTGTCATGACTGTGGTTGCTATAGGTTGCAGAAGAGCAACATTGTTTTTTTTGATTTCTACATATCTGTTATAAGGGAATTGACTTTATTTTGTACTAAAGTGTCTGCATTTTATTTATTGGAACTCATATATGACGAAAATACTTCATACTTGAATAAATAAGTAGTAGTCATTTTAGTAGTAGTAGTTGTAGCAACATGCTGAAAAGCTAAACTTTTTTTGAGACCTGTTTTCTTCTACATTGATCTACATTGTATAAAGTGCTTTAGAAATCAAAGTGTCTTGACGGTAACATTAATAAAGAGTGTGCAAAATGTAAGATTAAAACTTTTGCCTGATAGGGAATTTAGTGATGAATTACCTCACATTGTTTTGTGCTTAAGCGTTGCTGTATATTATTTTATCCGACAGAAGAAAGTGAATTTATGTGATTTAATGCAACAACACTGATGGTCTTCCTCTTTTTTCTGTACCTTCCATAACAGGTCCAAAATAGGCCTTGTTACAAGTGACTGCAAAAATCCTTTACATGCTGTCTGCAAAGATGTCTAGTGGATCTCAAATGAGCAACAAGACATCCCCTAATACATCTCCACAGCCCCCTCTAAGTCCAACAGCACAGTCGGACGCAGAGGGTCATGAAGACTCAAAACCTGCTTCTGCAGCCTCTTCGTTTCCTTTACCATGTTGGGCTACTCAGGCCCTATGCGATTTGGCTAAATGTGAAACAGACCTCAGGCGACTGCGGGAGCAACAAGTCACTGAAGCGCAAACAGTAAGTCGAGGTGTGGACCGTGCACTAATTGGAATACAAAGGGAAGAGCGCCGTCTACTGGAAAGGGTAGAACAGGATCATCGTGACCTACAGCTTAGACTGGAACAAGTGCAGAGGGAAAATGGAGCAGCCATAAGGGTTGTGCAAAGATTGGTGGACCAGCGATTATATAAAGTCATCAAACTTCGAGAACTAATAAAGAAAAGTGGTGCTGATGGTAGTAAAGATCGAGAGTGGGATCTCAAGCGAGACCAGCTTCTTAAAGGTGTTGCAGAGCTGGTCCAGCCTTGGGAATTATCACTTACACTCAAACGTGTATCTTTCAAACCAAGTGCCCAGCCAAATGCTATAACCTTTGGTGAGGTCAACGTGCAGGACCATAATGTTCCAGTTGGAGGCTGTGGGCAACTGGGTCACATGTGTTCCCTCCATGCCGCCGAAGCACGCAGTGGGGGTCATGTTGTTGGAGAGGGCAAGAGCACGACTGATGGAACAAGCCCTTGTCAGAGCCCAGTCCCATCTCCAGGGCCTAATCCAAGGCACTCATCAACTAACAGTGGGAACTTGAGGGTTGTCAGGAAGCTCCGTTTGTCAGCCCGAAGTGACGAAGAATCAGGAGAAGAGGTAAAACATCAGTCCCCACAACTATTTCGCAGGTCCCCTAATCAAGTCCCATGTGAACGTGATTCATCGCAGGAGGATGAGTGTGAATCGCCTTTATCTGAATGCAAAGGAGATGAGCTCTTTTTGGCGGTACCATCACTTAGTCATGGTGAGTCAGAGAGTGAAGATTATGCTCAGAGACAAAATGGACCAATCACACAGTTTGCTTCGCAAAGAGCAAGAAGGCAAAGAGAATTCTCTCCATCTCCAGAACAAGGTCCTCAAGAACAAGATGGCTGGTTCTTGCATCAGTTTGATCATAAAAGTCCGACCAGGAGGACTTCAGGAAAAACATCACGGTATGGCACATCACCACAGAGCCCCAGAGAGATCAACTCTAGTCAAGGCAGCAATAACAACTTCTTTCGTGGTAGGTCTTCCTCCCAATTAAGTGCATCTTCAGATGATCACCCACAAAACCGTGCATCATCCCCTACTGACAGTGTAGATTCTGGGTACACTTTTATTGTCAGCTCCCCCAGAGATTTCACCAATTCCCTGCGTCCTACTGCTCGCCTTTCCAGATCAGCTGCTGATCTTTCCTATTGTAACAGACCTTTAAGTGAGACCAGAAGGCAGCAGTCAAGCATGTGGTCTGTTACCAAGAGTCATATGTCCTCACACTTGAGCTCCAGTTCTCAAAAATGTGAGGCATCACGCACAAAATCCTGTCCCAGTCATGGCAATTTCTCTCAAAAGAATACCCAACACCATGCTCCTGGTTCCAGTAGAGTGTCTCGTTCACTTTCAATGTCTGTTATTGACAATTCATCTCAGAAAAGACAGAACCACCTTTCACCAGGACGACAGACTTCTCTAAATGAAAATAGACTGCGGGGAGAGAGGAGCGAACCAGCCCTCTTAGAGTTAGAAGAGGATGCAAAATCAATGCCATCAGAAGAAGTGCATCTAGTTCGGCAGTTTGGTAGGCAAGGCTCAGGGCGTGCTGGTCTCGCACTGCCCAGTGGTGTCCATGCTACACCCCAAGGCCAACTTTTCATTGTGGACTGTGGGAATGCTCGAGTCCAAGTAACTGATCCACAAGGTAACGTCCTACAACAAGTGACTTCTGCAAGTAATGACTCCTTAAGACATTGCCGAAATTACTTTGATGTGGCCGTTAATGCCAAGGGTCTAATTGCTTTGAGCTGTGCAGCCGAGAGGGCTCTCCTGATCCTTAGTCGGCATGGGCGTCTCCTCCAAACATTTGGAGGGGGGCCCTACATTGCAGGAGTCCCTCGCGATGAGTTGGAAGCTCCAAGAGGAGTGACAGTCAACCAAAGAGATGAATTCTTAGTTGCAGATATACGAAAGGGTACTCTTACTGCATTGAAGCTTGAACCGAAAACGGGCTCCAGATTGGAACGCACTGTGGTGACTGGTTTCCACAGGCCTTATCTGGTAGCAGCATGCCTTCTCTCTGGTTTAGTTGCAGTGTCTGAGCGAGGCAGTGAAATAGGGCAGGAGCCTTGTGTGAAGATTTTAGGACCAGGATGGGACATCCTACGAATCTTAGGTGTGTGTCCCAGCTTAGGGCCTGTGCTGTCATGTCCCTGGGGCCTTTGCATTGACAAGGATGGGGCTGTGTTGGTGGCAGATTGGGGAGAAAAACATCGAGTGCTTCTATATCCTTCTGAGGGACCAGGACGAGTGATTTTGGCCGATGGACTGAGTAGCCCTCGTGGACTTGCACTTCTACCAAATGATCTCCTAGTGGTGTCGGATAGCATGCATCACTGCATTAAGATTTATCAGTACAAGGAGCTCCTTGAATGAGACAGGTATTTATTTTACTTTTGGATGCTAAATAGCATGGTATAAAGCAGGCATTGATAAAATACTGTACAATAAGTAATAACAGTAGAACAGATGAATATTAAATGAACTATGCAGTTGTGTGTATTATTTATTTACAGTCAAGTCAAAATATATAGATTAGCTTGATTAGCCTTAGCATGACAAAATGTAGATTTTTTTTAGAGTTGTGTTTGTGCTCTTTCGTTTGTTTTTAAAGCCTGGTTGTTTCTATTGCTAATATAGTGTGATTTCTTTCCACTGCAGTGTTTTGGCTTTGTGATAAAGCAGTATGCTACTGAGATTGAATAGTCATGCCAGCCAGCAGGAGGCAGTAATAACACACAAACACATTAATGCATTTGAAGTCTTTTGGCTCCTAATGCAATTTAAAAATAAAACTGCAACGTCAATAAAGCCATTTGTAACAACAATGCATATTATAGTCATAACAAGATGATTTGAGATTTTCTGTTTACCATTATTCTGCTTAGCTGTAAATAGCAACAGGAATGCAACCACTCAGTGAGAAATATTCTTGGCATGGGTTTGCAATCTCAAAAGAGAACTAGAAGCACTGGAATACTTTGAAAAATTCTGAATTGTTTCCTGCTAGTTCAAGAATCCTCACAGTCCTGTTATGACTCTGAAACAGAGACTCTCAAAGCTCAACAAGGCTTGTTGGCTAACCAAACACACCCAGACTGCTGTCTTTACTGTTTGGATTTAAGCTCGACACAGTCTCTTAGCTTGCCTTGTTTAAGAAGAGTAGGCATGGCTATGCTACATCTACTCACTCGTTGGAGGATCTACAAACATGCAAACAGTCATATAGCTTTATTTCAGATTTTTTTTTTTTCAAAGAAATGTGTTGCATGCTCTGCGATATCCTTCCTCTGCCCTAAGAATGGTTTGTTATTCCATAGAAAAGTGTTCCTCTCCCTTGTTTACGCTGTCAGAGGATGTGGTGTCTCCTTGTCGGTCAGGAAGCAGAGCCTTGTCTTTGACTTTGTGCGAGACTCAAGCCGGAATTAATTGAACTAAGGTTTTCATCAAGTCCATAGAGCCCTTTTCCTCTCATGTGTAATGACTGATCTAAAACAGTGGCTTAAGCTACACTTTCTAAGCGGATAATCTATTTATTTTTTAGGTCACATTATTGTGGAATAGTGAGAAAACATTGGTACTTTGAAACCTGAAAAGTTAACTTGTGAGGAAACCAATTGTGGCAAACCATTTAAGTTTTGAAACAAAATGGTTTGAGTGTTGTTAACTTATATTTAAATATACACTACCGGTCAAAAGTTTGAGGTCAGTAGGAATTTTTAAATGTTTTAAAATAAGCTTCTCCTGCCCACCGAGGCTGCATTTAATCAAAAATACATTGTTTTTGCACTATAAAATAACTGTTTAAAAGTAATTTTTCATTTAATTTAATCTTTTATTGCAGTTATTTTAATTATACATTTTCATATGATCCTGTAGAAATCTAATAGTAATTATTATTGTTGCTGTTATTATTATTAATAATGATCATAATAACTTTAGTATTTATAGTAATAGTTATAAAAACAATAATGACTTGATGAGCAATTTCAAAGTGATAAATAAATATTTAATAAATAAGTATTTAACAATTTAACTTTTTACGTTTAATAAATGGCGCCTTGATGATTTTCCTAAAAAAAAAAAAGATACTGACCACAAACTTTTGATGGGTATTTTATATATACTTTTACTTTTATGATGATATCGTAAAACATTTAGATTATTAGTTTAGATTATAAGTTCAAAACTATATAACTGCTCAAAAGCTTGGTATTAAGAAATTTGTACAAAATATATAATTAATGAATTCATAACTCATTAGGTTTGAGTTGTGCTTAATGTAATCAGTTTATGCATCAACATAACCCTTTTGCGTTAAGTCAACGGTAAACTAACTTATTTTATTTAGTGTTGATAAACTTCCACTTGTACCTGATTGCCTGATTTACTTGTACATATTGTGCTCGTGAACACTATATGATCTTAGTCATACGTAAACCCGACAGAATCTGTGGATATTTTTTGCTATTTCTGTGCAGAATAATGTAAAAAAAATAAAAATCGACAGATTTATGTGGAATGACTTTGGGTATATTAAACTACAAACTTAATATGTTGAATAAAAAATAATACATTTTTAAATTGTATTCAGTTTACAATGCAAATCCTATTAGATACATTTATTTGGTAAATTAAGCTAGTCTCTCATATAATGTATCTACCATATGTCTACTAAAAGACAGAAAATATTACTTTACAAACTATTGTAAGTAAATCATATGAATATTTTTATGTTGGTCAGTAATATTAATTAAATTAATTTAAAGAATGAATAAATCTAAAAATACACACATTTACACACAACATTTACCCCCTCAAAAATGAAATGGTTCATCTCAAGGGGTTATTCCCATTCAATAAATAAACTAAATTAAGAAACTTGATGGGATGGAAATCTGCATATTTCTGCGCACACAGATTCCATGTGGGCCAAACAAAATGATGTTGCAAATTGTATTGATAACAAAAAACTGACTTATTAAACGTATTATGTTTTGTTAAGGTGCTTTTCCAAAAGTATCCTTTTTTAAGCACTTTCCTATCACAGATCAATCAATTCCTGTCAGTTTCACTTCTATAATCAATATTGAAGCTTGACTATTAGACCTTTTCAACTACACACATTTTGTCAATAGTAGAATAACGTGTGATTATAAAATAATCGAGTACATTTTGTAATATGAAACAGGACATGTAACACAAGTGCTAAAATGGTTTAAAGTAGCAACACGATGCACAGTTCCAGTTTCATTATGAATTTTTAAGTTTTTATATTCTAAACATGACTACTAAAATATGCTACTAAGAGGAGAAATGCAATAAAAAAAGAATGCCTAACATTTTACAACTTACTGTAACACCATCTAATTGTCCCATATAATGGTTTCAATGAATAAGTCATCTATTAAGAATGCCTTTTTAGAAAGGAATGTTAGATGGTCCCTACAGCATCTCAAATAAAAATGTATCCTGCAGTGTCTACAAGGAAAAAAATCCTACCTATAAAATAACTGGGTGCAAGTTGTCCTTCATTATAAAGGAATGCCTGAGTTTGCACTTTGTCTATCAGCCCCAAACCACATCAGCTCAAACATTGTAAAGACTAGTTATGTGTTGAAATAAAAAAAAATAAAAAATGAAACAACACAAATAACTAACTTCCAAAATGAAAATGACATGCTTTAAAAAGTCTCGGTGGTCTGAGAAATGAAAATGTCTCAAAAAGAATTTTAAATAGATGATAATGACACAGTGAACCATTTGATATCCAGTTTATGAGGTCTAGCCTGAAACAGTAAAACGTTTGCCACAAGTCTCAATATGTAGCTGCATATTTGAGATCCTCATGCCACCTATAATAATGTGTTTAAGGAAATATAATTATTAAGATGGAGCTTTTCTCTAGACGCTTGATAGAACCTCAAAACTTCACTCAACTGGAAGAGTATGCCTGTGTGTATTCTTTGTGTTGTGAGTCATATTGAAATGTACCATTGTATTCCCATATATGAATAAATAAATGCTGGTATGTAACAGTATCTTAGTGATTTATGTGCTGATACTGTAGTTTATGTGTACATTACGGTGTGTGAGATGTCTGGATATGGGGCTTTTTGTACAACAGGGAGAATGCCAAAAGAGTGGCATGCTGCTTGTTGTTGCACACAGCCACAGTTGTTTGCTTTGAGGGGATTTATGGAAGTAGCAAGTAAACTTTAGAGGGGCCATAAAAAGTACCCCTTACAGGGAGAGATGAGTGTGTCCGTGTGTGACGGAGAGAAGAAACAAGTGTTAACTATTAGTGAGGATGTACAAATAAGGAAACGCTCACTGAAGAATGTGACAGTTTCACATTTAGGACATGAGAAAATACAGTCTGCAGAAAACAAAAGGACAGAGATCACTGGAACTCTTAAAATTGAAGATTTCACTTGTTTTAGCTCAATAATGTCTATATTTAAAATATTTAATCTATTTTTTCTATTAATGTTTATTGCTTTTCAAATGGACTAAAACAAAGTAGTTGTAAACTGAACTATTAAAGTAATACTTTACCTAAAAATGGACATTTTGATCACTCACTTGCTATTACGTTGTTTTAGCTGAGACTTTTAACAATGCTGGGACCTAAACATTGGTCTTCCATTGAAAAAGAAATATAAAAATTAATATGATTTAAACAGTTTGGTTATTCACATACTTGAAAATCTATGTGTTTCTGAAAATCACTTGAAAATCAAGTGATTTTGAAAATCTGTGTGTATATACAGCAATATACTGTATATATACAGTGTTGAGGAAGTTACATCACTGTCCATTGAGACTATAATCTCTTTTTCCCTTTCTTTGATCCGTCAGAATAGTGAGAAAGCTTCCATCGCAGAAATGTAAGTCTCTGCCGTCTTGGTTTCTGTCTGTTCCCGCATTCTCTCCTTGAGAGTGGGATGCTTTGTGGCTACGATCATTTTAATTCAGCTTTTTATTTTTTTATAAGTTAATTAAGTAAACTAATTGGTAACTCGCATGACATGTTTTCAAAAGTAACTCAAATAATATTACTTACTTTTTAAAAGTAATGTGTTACTTTACTCGTTACTTTACTTGTAAAAGTAATATTTATATCTCGTTACTTGTAATATGTTAGCCCCAACACTGTATATATATTAAGTATGCTCATAATACCCGATTAACCGTTAACCGAAAGGGTGCGTTTATATATATATATATATATAAGTGAGCAAATGATGACAGATTATTTCATTTTCAATGGTGGGTGAGTAATCCTGTTTAAATTCTGATAATTTTGTAATCGTGTAATACAAATGAAAGCAGAACACTGGAAAAATTTGAATTCAAAATGGTAATTCTACATAAAGTCTGGTGATCTTACTATTTTTGACTGTCTATGAGTGCTATATAAATGTGAGAGACTAAATGAGTTGCATGCAAGCCAAAAGTGTTCCATGCTTGCCTGCTTCCCACACAAATTTGCACAGACACAAAATCATATGCATTTTTTAATTAGTGCATTTCAATAAATCTTAACATACAAAACAGAACAAACATTATAATTTACCCATCGCAAAATGTAAAATTCACATAACTTTTCCCTCAAGTCAAAACCTGCAGTTTTATGACCTTCCGTTCAAATCTAATCCTGTACATGAGATCTCTCATACCTTCCCTAAATATCCTGTCAGACTTTAGGTAACTTTCCACTTTCCCATCTCTTTTTGTAATTCAACTGGAATAAAGCTTTAACATTGATAACCTTGCTGAAATTAAGAACTAAAGGTAAATAAGTTGTAACAACATCTATATCCTGAAAGATATAGTGTCAAATGTAGAACATTTTTAAAACACACAAACATTGCTGATGCTTCCACAAGTGTTGGAAACACATCTGGCATATAAAGCCATTAAGTGACTGTGGTGCTTTGAAAAAAGCCCTTTTTGTCCCAGCAAGCAAGCCTGGGTGTAAACCAGAGTTTGAGTACTGTACAGAAGTATACACTTTAAATGTAGTAGTGCACTAGTTACTGCCACATTCATATTAGCTCTTGTTTTTCGAAAAAAAAGTTGCCACTGCTGAACCGCAATGTGTCTATGAGAAGTCATTCATGCTTTTGTGAACCAGAGCATGTTGTGTGAACCAAAATTCCTGGGATATACAGTATGTCAACTTTTGCAAATGCATGTAACCAACAAAGGAAATATCCATAAGTGTCTCTCCGAATGTAAATATAGTTTCCTGTGATTGTATAACAGGGTATGAGAGAGTGCCAGCTGCTCTCCATTGTGATGGGTTAAGGAGGAAAGGCTTCGGAATGTACACAGCTTGAGCCTTTGAACTCAAGTTCCTTCAGGCTCCCTATGTCTTTCCTTCTCCTTTTGTGCTTTGGGGTCAATGGGTTAAAAAGAGGTGGAGGTCAGCGTGTTATGACTCTCATCTGCCAGCCTCCTCTACTCTCGACACCTCACACCCAGTGCGGTGATTACCCAAACAACCATCACCTCCTTGAACTCCTAAACGTCCAGGTTTGCCTACAACAGACAAAGTTGTCATTAGAATTCCAGACATTCCAAGTGACAATCAAAGACTGGAGCTGAAAGCCCAATGTAGTTCACTTCAATCTGGGATATCTGACATCTGCATGTTAAGACAGTATATTTGGACACACTTCATTCATATACATGAATCCCCTTTAAAACAGTAAATTAAGATTACATGACAACCAAGAAAGTCCTGTGAGAAACTTAATGCCTCACCTCAGAGAGGGGTTTCTCGCTTGTAAAGTGCTGCACTGGTTGGCCCTTCAAACTGCAGCTTAATTGCTTGTTTGAGATTAAGATGGGGGTCAGTAGTCATGTTAAACAGAGATTCGTCAGGTAAGGCACTATGTGGGGAAACAGCTGAAAGGTCAATGGTTGGAGACATCAATGTCTTTTGTAATCCACCCCAATCACCTTGTTGTGCATGGGATTGGAGGTGAAAAGGTGGATACCCCAAAGGCGGACTTTGCCTAATTTTCGTCTGCCTATGCAAGCCTTCTTGGTTTGGCATCACCCCTAAAGAAGCCATGATAGAGTTCCACTTTAGATCAATTCCTCCAGTTTGTTTGAGGCTCTTCTCCATCACATCCTCTATGATGTAAGGACTTTTAGCTTTTAAGAGGTAGTTGCCATCCCCTGATAATCTGAGCCCTTTTAAGGGTTTTTCTAGGTCCTGCAGTTCAGTATAGGAGCACTGTTCATGTGTGGGACTGCACTTGGGTGCAGCCGTATGATTATGCCTAGAAGCTCTACCCTGAAGACTGGTTGGATTGGAGCCAGGAAGAGGCAAGGTGGAGGGCCGACTACGGGAACGAGGAAGTGAATGTTGTTGTATCTGCTGAATGAAATTCAGGCTGTCAGCAGGCACAGTCTGTACTGTGGCCAGGGAGTGGCAGGTGGAAGAGGAGGTCTGTGAGGCAGGCATTGAGTGGAAACGCTCTGCAGTAGACGCAGGGGAACAGGAGGCTGATGTTGACGATGGAGAAGATACAGTGGGGACTCGATCAGCTGCCACCTCTCCTGAACTAATGGACGGATGGGTCTTCACTATGCCTGAAAGATAAGATGCATTAGGAGCACCACTAGGTGTGAATGGTATTAAACCTGAGAAGGGTTTGGCGCCATAGCTCTCCAGAAGTCTGACAATTGTGAAATGACTTTGTTTTCCTGCTACCTTCACTGGGGTGCGACCATAACGGTCCACATGGTCAGGGTTAGCACCTTTCTCTAAGAGCATGACCACAATTTCACTATGCCCCTCCTGAGCAGCAACACTTAGTGCTGTGGCACCCTGCTGTTTGCAAGCCAGATCTACATTGAGACCTTTAGCCCTAAGGAGCAGCCTGCCAGCAGCTGTATGACCTCTCCACGCCACTGAGTGCAAAGGAGGCCGCCCATCAAGATCTCTAGCATTTGGGTCAGCTCCATATTTTAGCAATAGTTCAGTACCTTCCAGATCTCCTCGCCAAGCGGCTACATGGAGTGCAGTTCGTCCCTCTGCATCTTTTGACTCCAGAGGAACACCGCCTTTTTCTATAAGTAGGGTAGCCATGTCTAAACGGCCCTCCAGGACCAGCAAATAAAGGAGAGGTCTTCCTTCAGCATCACGGACATCAGTGTCAGCTCCTCTGCGCATTAACAGCTCTACAATATCTCGGTGTCCCTGCAGAGCAGCCGCACTAAGTGCAGAGTGTCCATCATATGCACGATGATCAATGGGTGATTTACGATCTAGCAGTAACCTGACTGTACTGCAATGGCCTTCTTGTGCTGCCAGAATTAGAGGACTCCGACCTTCTACATCAAGCTCACCCACACGTGCCATGCTACCTCTCTCTGTCAATATTGCACACACACTTTTGTGACCTTCACAAGCTGCAGCATGCAGCGGAGTCCAACCCAGGTCATCCTTGTGATTCTCATCCAAGCCCCTATCCAGCAATGCTCTTACAACTTCGATGCTACCCTTTGCTGCAGCCAAGCAAAGAGCAGTGCGGCCTTCACCATCAATTCCATCCACTGCTGCCCCCCAAAACAGCATACGGTTAACAGTGCGAGTATGTCCCATAGCTGCAGCTGCAAGAAGAGGAGTGATTGAAGAAGGATGAGCTCCAGAACTTTCATCTACATCAGCTCCAGCTTCCAAGAGGAGTTCAACCACTTCCTCATGTCCTTCGTAGGAGGCTAGCAGTAAAGGGGTCATTCCATCTCTGTCCTTATGTTCAGGATCAGCACCTCGCTCTAACAGAAGACTTACAACCTCTCCATGCCCTCGTCCTCCAGCTGATGATGGCACACACAATGCAGCAACAGAGAGAGCGGTACGTCCATCCCCATCTGCAAGATTCAAATCAGCCCCAGCATCCAGAAGGATCTCCACTGTTTCTTTGTGACCCATGTAGGCAGCAGCAATTAGTGGAGTGCGTCCCTCACGGTCTGAATGGTCTACTTCAGCACCATGACCGAGAAGTGTCAGCAGGATTTCCTCATGTCCACCCCATGCTGCTGCTCGCAAGGCTGTCCGACCATCTGAATCACAGCCATCAACTTCTGCTCCTGCTTCCAGAAGACGACGTACAGCTTCCTTGTGGCCACCCCATGCGGCAGAACGAAGAGCAGTCCATCCCTCACTGTCTGCATGCTCCAACAAGGTGTGGGCTGCAGAACCCTTACTTCTTTGCTCTTGCACCCAGTCCAGCAACACCTGTAGTACACCAACATGGCCTTGTTTGGCAGCAAGTGTCAATGCAGTCTGACCCTGGTTGTCGGTCAGTGAAGGGTCTGCTCCATGACACAACAGCAATGCAGCTACATCTACAAGGCCAGCATGCGCTGCTGCTGCTAGTAATGTCCGTCCATCTAATGGGTCTGTGCGATTTACACTGACACCACTGTCAAGTAGTGCTCTCACAGACTCTTCTCTCTGTAATGCTCGTCGAACTATCCTGCTTCCTCCTCCAACACAGTGAACTCCCACACTGGAGCTTTTGTCTGGGGAACAGCTTGAAGGATATATTCCACTTTTCATTAAAAGCTGTAGCACATCTTGCTGAACTAATACAGGTGTATGAGAAGTTGATAGCACATTAGAAGGACAGTCTTTTCTGGTACCGTTAAGAGCTGGAACTCCAGTCCATAGCAACCACAATGCCAAGAGGGCTGGTTCTCCTTCATGAACTCCACTGTTGAGGAGGTGGTGGGCCAACTGACAAGTTTCCTCTGTACTCAAACTACTGGCTCGTAAAGAGAGTGACATGGCCATAGAAAGGTGACCATCCTTAACACAACATAGAAACTTCTGCGTGCAGTATTTAACATCTGTTAACCATTCTGCAAAGCTGCTGTGAAAGAGGAGTTTACTGCCCTCAGGGCCATCTACAAACAGAGATGCCAGAGCTCCCATCTGTGCTTGGAAGTCTCTGATCCCAAGGTAGCAGTCACGGCTTTTGGCAATAGTGTAGAGATCCTCAGCTGTTAGTGGTTGTTGTGATGCCAGGAGAATATTCAGCAAAGGCCTAATATGGACAAACAGCCTTCGAGGAAAGAGTCGTTGACAGAGCCAAAGGTAAAGGCCATTAAGGGTGCCAGGAATGTCCCGAATTTCACGAAGTCCTACTAGACCATTTGCAACACCATCCATCACTCGTTCAAGAAATAAGAAACAGCCACCACTTTTAATGTGCAATAGATTGAGCATTTCAGCCGTCTCTGGGGTAAGCTGTCTTCTTAAAGCTCCATCCTGGTCAAGCCTCCGCAAGATATACTGCTGTACATCCCGTACAGTAGCAGGCTTTCTTAAGTCATCCAAACACAATTTCCGAAAACCTGAAGGGCAGAGGGTCAAGAGATAAAAATAAGGGTAGTGTACACAACAAAATTCAGAGACACATTAAGAAACAATAATGGTCTTAAAAGCCTTTAATCAATGCTGTGAAATAAAGTTTAAACTCTCATATGCAGTTTTTGCCTGTAATCTACACACATCAGCATCTTTTGTTCTTGGTATTTAGGCTGCAGCAGTTTTAGATGATTGTAAAATTACATGTTAACTAAAATTGTAAAATGTTTAAGTGGCAGCAATAAGTTTTCCAAGCCAAAGGTAAGGATCTTCCATTCAAATTTGTTTAGAAAGACATGTAGATGCAACCAGTGTACAACAGACTCTAGTCTTTTAACATTATCCTTAGAGATCCCACTAAGAGCTAATAAGTGGGAAGGACTCTCATTAGAACAGGCTATTTCATCTAGTAAAATAAAGCACTTCAAAGCCATAATATACCGACGTATGACAAAAAAGCATAGTCATTAGCTGTTTGTTTGAGAATACTGGCTATTTGTGCGATCATACAAGTGTTTACTCATTTGTTACTAAACTGGTCTCTATTTGCAGAACAAAGTCTTTGTGTGCACTGCGCAGTCTTAACCAAAACGAACAATGAACAACACTCACAGGAAAGCAATTAAGCTAATCATCTTACAGTGCATTTCACAATGCTTATGAAATGGTTTGTGAATCATCTTTCTTTGTACCTGAGAACATCTTGCAAACGGCTTTGTTCTGGCGGCGTGCAGAGCAGACCAGAAGGATCCAGGGGGGAAAGAGCTGTATGTGTTTGAGCAGGAGCTCAGCGATAGAGGAACTTGGTGTGCCTGCTGATCCTGATATTGACCCTTCTCCAACTCCATTACCTCCACAACACCCAGAGTCAACGGAGTCCACCACAATAAACACACTGTGAGCTGGTGGTGTCAGTGATAAAAGAGGTTCTAATACTGCCCTGAAGAAGAAGAAAAAAATAAATAAAATACTGTAATCAAGCAGCAATGAATGCATCACACCACATGAATTCTGGGTAAATATGATTGACATAATTATAAAAAAAATGTTGATGTTAATGTTCCTAACAACAGAATAGGAATAAATGAAAGAATGCAAGAAGCAAGGAAGTACATATTTCTCTCAACAACAGCGAGCAAATGGGGAATTCAATGATTCTGAGAACTTGAACTGGGAAAGACATGTCACCACATACTGTATGGACTAAAATAGAACTTATCTCTAAAGGAAATAAGTGCTGAAATGCGGCACTGCTTTGTTTGTGAGAATGGACGACATTGCAAAAGTGTTTTAACAACCATCCAAAGAACTCCCAGATCATTAAAGCATTCTGATTATTGATTCTTTCTCACAGCCACGCTTGAGGTGTGGTTGTAGAGGCATCATGACTCAGTGTTATGGAAGCTCAATGATTTCCTGTGGCTTCCAGCGCATAGCAGTAGACACAGAGAAGGTGTTGCTTTCTTATCAGCCTCAAATTCACCTGCAGTAACTGTGTTACACTTATCACTGACCCGGTACACTTATTTTATGATTGACATTTCAATCTATGTGGTGCATGATAAAATACTTTCATCTATCCTAGGTTATTACGTTGAGGCAAATAAAAACACTTCCTAACCAGTGTTAGCTCAGCATTGTGATGCTGATATCAATGACACGGGTTTGGAACAGGACTATAGTCCAAGTTTTTATGTAAATTTAGCAGATTTTGTCAAATAAGATCCACTGTACACAGCTGAACCACTGCAAATGAATGAATCCATTTGAACTTCCTACAGTATATCATGAAAGGGTTTCAGTATCTTGTTGAGAATCATGATGTGCTTAAAACACTTTTTTATATTAATAATCAATGAATAAATCACTTTTTAATAACTATACTGTTTGTTTTATACCAACTATAGCCATTGACTCTTTGATTTTCTTCTTTAAATGGAAACAATATTCTTCCCTGGTTGCAAGTATTGCACTCTATTAGCTAGAATTACTGCTCATAAACTGATAAAGACAATTATCCCAATCTGCTTTATTTATTGGCAAGGCAATTACATAAACCTTTTTACTCTATTTTTATGAAATGCATCAGTATTACAGTTCCACTTTCATACACCCACCATTAAATTTATGACCATAAGCATTCCTTGTTTATCTGTTCCTTATCTCCAACACGTGGGCTCACATAATTTGTCAAGCTAATGCCCTTTTAACATGCTCAGATCACAGCTTGAGCCGAACAACCTTATAAATGTGCTTCCTGACTCATCCTGTCCATATAGACCAGCTATAGGGCTTGTCTTGACCCTGGTAATGCGCATGCAAGTTAAGGACAGAGAAAAGTTATGTGATGCTTTTTATTGTACTGGACAAAATGGGAGGTTTAAAGGTTTTGGCCATGCTGAAGATTGCAGGATTGCAAGTCCGTACTTCCAAAATATAAAAAGAGATCTTAAACGACTGCCAAAACTGGAATAACAGGATAAAATTGCCAAAACAAGGAGTGATTAAGAGGGCATAAACATGATCATGTTTTCAAAAAATCCTTATCAGTTTTAGCCATCATTTACGAAATAATACCTGAAAATGACAAGTGGACATTTTTGAAAACAATACTACACTACTTGACTAAAGTCTTGCCAACTATCCAAGTTTTAGGAACAACAAACAATACATTTCAGTTGATCATTTGGTATCAGAAGTGGCTTAAATTGAAGGCAAAGTTCCTCTAGATTACACTTATTTTACCAAAATTAAATCTGATTATGCCTTGAATTTTAATTATTTTATTAGGATAGTAAGGTCTGACTTTGCTTAGGCAAAATCTTTTCACTTACCAGAAATAGTGTACAGTATAGAATATAAAGTCATGGTGCAGTGGAAAAAGAATTAATATTGTGTATAACTCCCATAAGCTTGGACGACAGCATCCATAAATCTCTACAATGACTCAAATAACTTATTAATAAAGTCATCTGGAACCTTCTTGCAGGACTCCGAGAGCTCATGAAGATGCTTTGGACTCATCTTCAATGACTCCTACATTTCATCCCAGACAAGCACAATAATGTTTATGTCTGGTGACTGGGCTGGCCAATCTGGAAGCACCTTGACCTTCTTTGCTTTCAGGAACTTTGATGTGGAGGCTGAAGTATGAGATGGAGCACTATCCTGCTGAAGAATTTGCCCTCTCCTGTGGTTTATAATGTAATGGGCAGCACAAATGTCTTGATACCTCAGGCTGTTGACGTTGCCATCCACTCTGCAGATCTCTTGTATGCCCCCATACTGAATGTGACCCCAAACCATGATTTTTCCTTTCCCAAACTTGACTGATTTCTATGACAATCTTGGGTCCATGCAAGTTCCAATAGGTCTTCTGCAGTATTTGTGATGATTGGGATGAAGTTCAACAGATGATTAACTGAAAAAATCTACCTTTTGCCACTTTTCCAAATGAACAACTAGAAGTCAAGTTATTATTTGTTGCTCTTACTACTGGGGCCGACGACAAGACTTTTGTCAGGTAGTGTACTATCATCTCCATGTAAACATCAAATACAGAGACATAATGTCATATATGCTCAATCTACAGGCAAGCTTGAGTATTTAATCAAAAGAAAAAAGCAATGCCTGATTTGATTGTATCTGTGCATATATTGTCAGCAAAAAAAAAAGGAAATTGTTATGTAACTTCTGTCACAAGGGAGATCTTTGTTTGTCAGTGTTAATTATAGCTTTTGGACATCAGAGAGCCTGCTGGATAGAGCAGGGACTAGCGCTCGCATTTCACCTCTAAGCTAACCCTTCTTACATTCTTTCACTAGGACCAGAGAAAAACATCACTTTTTTAGCATGTGCAAGACAAATGTGGGCTGTATGAGCTGAAGAAAACTAGCGTAAGAGTAAACACCAAGAGAAAAGTAAGAATGGAGTAAGTTGTCAGCATGGTGACCTCACCGACGGAGCCAACTCTACAAAATAGTGACACGATTCTTTAGCCCTTTTTTCCTTCTACGGTTGTAAATAGCGCCATCCATCTGAGCTGAACGCTGGCCTATTGTGATAACTGTGAATAGGCGTCATTATTGCGATGAGATGAATAAATAAATAAATATATGTGGCAGAAAGGCAGAACAATAGCCCCTTTCCTGCCTTTGACATAGAGTCTTTCTGAGGGCTATCAGACGAAAACACGATGGAGGAGGAGAATATATGGGATGGGAGGCTTTAGTAGAAAACAATAAAAGAAAGACTGTTCAAGCAAGATGCCACCGAGTGCATTTACATTCATTCAATGAAAAAACTTTAGCTTAAAGGGACAGTTCACCCAAAAGAATGTAGATTCTGCCATCATTTACTCACTCTAGACTTTTTAACACAACAAATTTTAACACAAAAGACGATATTCTGAATAAAGTCCAATATAATATTTGTTAGTCCTACTAACGATGTCAATGGTTACATTCTTCAAAATATCGTCTTTTGTGTTCAGCTGCACAGAAAACTGGTAACTGGTTTGGAACAAGTCAACAGTGAGTCAATGATGGCAGAATTTTTTATATTTGGGTGAACCTTTCCCTTAAATACTTTGCAGAGGACATATATGCACTCTATATAACTTGACTAAATGACTAAAAAACAATACAAAAGCTTGTGGTAATGGCCCACATTTACAGTACATGTGTTTAGTTGGGTTGTGATTCATTTATGAACTTGATGTTTAAAAATTCATGACATTAAAAAGAGTTTTTAGCCATCAGAATTGGTCTGTTGGTCTCAAAATGTCATAAACCCAAGCTTCAAATGATTTGGTCTCTTTTTAAACTACAAAATGTTGTGGAGCCCAAAGCTCTTTTAAACCAGAATCACAACATTACGTCTGAGTCGTTTAAAGGCCCCACTGAAGTGTCACTTTCCTTGCACAAACAATGTGAAATACAGAGGGAGTGTGTAAGGTACACCAAAGGCCTAGCTGTGAAACATCTGGGATTTCTCACAGGAGTAATGCTTGGAGAGCAAACATGAAATGCTTGAAGAACTAAAGGCAGACAGAAATGAGTTCAAAGGGATGTTGAACAGTGAGTGATTTGTTGCAGTGCAGAAGCAACAGAAAAATGTGAAAAATTCTGAGAAGAGTAGTTATAAGAACAACTGTAACAAAGATTAAGGTTAGGTTAGGATAAATTTTGTACATATATTGAGAGACTATATATATATATTAGGGGTATAATGGATCATGGTTGATCTGTGATTCGTACGGATCACAACCCATGGTTTGGAACACACGTGGCCCGTGGATTAATCCTTTTTTTACTGGTAGATTAATTCTAAATTTGTAACAATCACAAAGAGATTGCCTCTCTTGTAATTCAAATCACATGTAGGAAAGAATTTAGGCTTTCCTGTAAAATATGAGGATGACGGAAGAAGTTGTGGTAGGTTTTTTGGGATGTGATGGGTTTCATTAAAGGCATTTTGTGTCACTACTTGTTTAGCCTACATCAATGCATTCATTGCAAGTTGCATGATTAATCATGAAAATATCGGAATCTCAACAACCACACAACATAAATTATATATGATGGAGATTTGCATTTGTTTATTAATCATTCAAATCGCAGGCTAAATAATTCAAATGAATCATTGACTTCTGCTCTCTTCCTTAGTTTCAAAAACACAGATTGTTTTTTTACAATTTAAAACAGCATCATTGGATATATTTTTTACTTCTGGAGAAACGGTTGTCCTAAAAAACTAACAAAACAAAAAACCCAAATAGAAAATCTTACTCATACCTTAGGAACAATATGGAAGACAATTTTGACGGTTTTAAAACCTTAACTTTTCCTAACAGCAGTATAGCTTGAACACAGTTATCGTCTCATGCCTATCCGTGACTAAAAACCATTATGTCATTTGAACCGTGAGATTTGTGATCTGTTACATCAGGGGTCACCAATCTCGGTCCTGAAGGGCCGGTGTCTCTGCAAGGTTTAGCTCCAACTTGTCTCAATACACCTGTCTGGGTGTTGCAAGCAAACCTAGTAGGACCTTGATTATCTTGTTCAGGTGTTTTTGGTCAGGGTTGGAGCTAAAATCTGCAGAACACCGGCCCTCCAGGAACAAGTTTGGTGACCCCTTTGTTACATTATATGTGGAAAGGATACATTTTTTAAATGCAGATTTATCTCACTGCAATCTTGAAATTTATCTAGAATAATCTAGATTAAAATGACTCATTTGAATTCTGCCAAAGGCATTCAGAATAGGTGTGCTACCCAAATAATGACTAAATATAAGTCTTTGAGAACAGGTTCCTCAAGCCAGGTGGCGCATTAGACCAGGAGCTCATCTCCGGTTTACAAAATGCATCACAAACTGCTTGAGAAACTGTTCTATAATGATAATTGGTAATGAAAATAAATTATGTTCAATAAGATGTCGATTCAGTTAAACATGAATTTTGAATGTTTTGTAGGCCTACATAAGCTTGAAACAGCTATTTTTGATTACCTTAATCTGACTAAAGACTATGCAGATATTAGTAGCATTATTGAAGTAAACACCGCAATCAAACTATTACAGTCATGCAGGACTTTTCGCTATATTTTCTGACAAGATCTACATACAGTCCGCGGCTGTCAGTAAAGGGCCGTACACACACACATCGCGAAATGCGGAAGCATTTGGCACGCGTTATTAAATTCCATAACACTCTCACCAGTCCTTACTCCTTATTTGCGTCTAATACCTAAGCCCACATGGATTCTACACTAATATATATATAATTATATATGTATAATTAACATTATATTAGCAATTCCCTTAATCAGCTGTACACTTACATAATCCTAAAATAACAAGATATGATTACAATTCAATCAGATGTAATTGTATATTAATTTTTTTACATATATATATATATATATATATATCAACTGCCAAATGATGTGCCTATTTTACACAGCTCATGAATGCAAACAAAATAAACCATGAACATTGATTGTACTTTCTGAAGAGGTTAGATTTCCATCACAATAACTATTAAGTAACCCAAATGAACTATTTGTTAGCAACAAGTTCTCATTACTGTTGCCAAAGAATAATGCTTCTTAAAAGATGATGACTCTTTTCTAAAATTTACTCCATTGCAATGTATAAATCATGAAAAATACCAACCTTTTAAAAGTTTCATCAGGTGCTCTTTGGCAGTGAAGGGGCTCCAAGACAGTGGCAACAGAAGCACTGCTTATCACTTTCACATAGTTAGGTCCCAGAAGTGGACTTTCCTTCAGCTGTTCAACTAGCGCCAAAACAAACCTCCACACTTCAACACTGCCCGCATCCTCTCGCTGGCAATAGTGCCAGGCCAAACAGCGAGAAGCCAACCCTGCCGCCTTGCATGTTTCAGACTGTGGCCAAACCAGTTCTGTGCAGAGGGCTGTCTTTCCCGTGCCGGGGCCTCCAGTCACTAGGACCCCTGGAGAGACACGGTTTGATCCCTCCACACCCTTGTTGGCATCTCGAGCCTCTAGGCATCTTTGGAGCTTCTCGAGGGCCCATTCACGGCAGTAGAACCGCCGGCCCCGTAACAAGCTGGGTAACATGCTTCTCATCTGGCCCTCAGGAGATGAACCGGGACGGACCATGAGGATGTTCCTTCTTCCATAGTCCCACTTCAAGCATTCAGCACAGTTAACACAAAAAAATGCAGGGGGTTGTGCTGAGCTATATGCAAATGTTTGCTACTGAGTGCTTTCCGGAATGGAGAGTCAGAGAGAGTGTCCTCAGATGACTGTTGGCCGCAGGTGTGTTTGTATTTTGCAATCCAGCAGGTCCAAGTCATGCTGCTAGTCAGAAGTCCTGTAAGACAAAACAAACATAAGAAGAAGGGTGTAATTTAGTTAATGTTTTAAAACTTTCCTCTAACCTAGTTTAATGTGTAGAAACAAGCGTAAGTCATATAGGTTGTTTTCAATCACGTGGTTCTGGTGACGTGCGAAATTTAAATGGAAGGCAGGTTGTAAAAAACTGAATGGGAGACATAGAGGACATCCGTATTTTTGCGATTTTTACCATAAAATTTGAAAATCTGAGTTTTATCCTGAACTAAAATCTACAGTATTTGCCATATATTTGCCTGTCATCAAGGCGGTAAATACTATATAAGCTGTCACATAAAAAATATTATAGTAAATACAATAGCGTTTGGAAGCAAACTGTAGATAACTGAATTAACTGTTGTAGTAATAATATTGTTGCAGTGGTAAAACACATCTGTAGCAATAAACAAATACATTCAATAGGTTTCAATTTTCTACGCTATAATTATACATTAACACAATGCACCAGTTTACACAAACGTTACAGTGTTTATTACGGTTTATCAGTTTACTATGCTACAGTATTCTGCAGCATTCATTAACAAAGGGTTGTACTCATTATACTTTACGATGTGGTTGAAAAACATGTTAATTAAAAATGACTATAGTTTTTCCTCCATGCAGATATCTTCCAGACATTGTGAAATAACAGACGAAAGCATACGAAAGTGTGGATGCAGTCAACATTATTATTTATTTCTTTATTTTTGTAAGGGGGAAAAAGTGTTACACACTAATAACTGTCTATTTTTTGCAAGGGTTGCATTTATTTTTTGCTCTTTCAATGAACTTACCATCAACAAACATTCACCACTGCTGAGCATCTCGAGGTTCACATTACAGTTGTTTATTCTGCCGAAATGCCAGTAAATACATGAATTATTGCAAAACAAGATGGGGATTTCATAAGGTATTTATTTTCTCCTGGATTTTCTCCTGTTGTATCTTATTTTATTATAATGCATTAACATATCTATACACATAGCTAGGCTTGTATATAATCTTTTTTGGTGCTGTCAAACAAATTATTGTGTTCAAAAAAGTTTGTACACATGGATGTATTGAAAAAAATGTTTATTACATGCCAACTTTTCTTTCGTTTTACAGCTAGTTTCTTAAACTTTCTCAGCTTTATAAGCTAAAACTTTTGGAAGTCTATAAAAGTTGTTCAACATTTCTTATTTTGGCCAATTTAAACAATTATAAACAACATAAAACAGAAACATTTTGATATTCTAATAGCGATTCCTAAGTAGAATAAACACTTCCTGCCCTCCATTTGAATTTCGCGGATCAATGACCTCATGTGAAAACTACTTTTTGATAAAATATTCTTATTTTTACAGAACATTAGGTCAGCATATAAAAATACATATAAAAAACGACATTTAATTTAAACATAATTTTACATGAGTACTTTCAGTTTGTCTCATTTTCACATAGGATGTTTCCTGAAAATCTTTATCAGGATGCCATTGGTTGAAACTTATTGACTGAAACTCGTAATTAAGCCAACAATGCATGTGGTCATGTAAAAGCAGTAAACACATTTTCCTTTATACACACACAGCTTTTTGGAGTATGCATGTGTAATATACAATATGACAGGAAAGTGTCCTTACTGTGGATTTAAGTGCATTCAACCACAGGAAACTTTCTGAATGATATTGTGCACTCTTGAGCCAAGATTTTTCATTTTTTAAGTGCTCTCATACAGTGCAGCCATAGGATTAAATGAGTCTGGGAAACTTCAAATATAAAAGAAGAAAGAGTCAATTAAAGTTTCTTGCTGGCATTTCAGAATTCTTGTTCGTGCTTTAACAGTAAAGCCCAGATAATAAATACAATTGAAATCTTGAATTGACTACATGAAAATAACATGATTTTTTTCAATGAAGTATCATGAAAGCAGCTTGGTCAGGCTATTAATCTGCATGTAAAATGTGTTCTTTCAATAAACTGATCGTTTGTAGTTATCAGCGTATTGTAAACATGCTCTGTGTGTAACCACAAGCTATCAGTTGCGCCAATGTGTCCGACTCGTCAGGATGCATAAATAAACACAGATATGCTCCAAAAATGTGGCACCGATTGAAACCAGTCATTATTGTTGCAATTCTGTTTGGTGATGCTAGCACCATGGAAATTACACACTTCACCTTTAAATGAAAGCTTGGCATTTAGCGCAGCCAGGACAGGCGAGATGGAAAGGTTGAGAGAGAAACAGAAATAGAAAGAGGGTTAGAACATATCTGTCAAACTCCCGAGAAACTGAGAGCTCAGATACACAAGCGAGCAAAGCTTATAACCCAACCCTCAGCTTAAATAGTGCTAAGCAATGAAGAAATAAAGTTAGATGAATCAAAGAGATAGACTTAACATCTTACCTTATTTGTTAAACTATTTTACATTTTCTCCATGGCAGCCTCGCCTCAAATGCTATTTTTATGTCTTTCTGTTGCTCCCTTCTTCCTCCTCAGAGGTCTGAAATGTACTCCTCCTTTGGCATATTCTCCCCGGCTCCCAGCTGCTTACCGGTTTTTCTGGTCCTTTATCTCCTCCCCTCCTGCTCCTCAACATGTCAGGGCATGAAGTGAAATAGCTGACTGCAAGAAGGAGAGCAAGCATGAGTATGAGGGAGGAGTTAGGTTTGGGGTCAAAGTTTAAACTCAGATGCATGATGTCATGCGGTGTTTCTCCTTGCTTTCTGTGTCCCTACACATTCTTGTAAGAGAGCGAGAGCTCTCGGACAAGATCCATACGGTTGCTCTAAATGCTGTACACTTCACATGTCTGAAATTTATTAGAAGCCATAAAACAAAACAGAAGTGCCGTCACTGAACAGCCAGCAACCTCATTACAATAAACACAGTGCTGCTGACAGTGTATTTTCTTCTTGATGCCTATATCAACAACTAACTAATCGACAACATATGGTGGTGTGAGGGAGTGTAGTGGGTAAAAACACAGGCTGTGTGCCTGGAGGTCGCAGGATCAGATTGTTACGGATGATCCATGAATCCTCTAAATGTTGTGTCCTCGAGGAAAGCACTCATGCCGAGATTGCTCCAGGGGGATTCTCCCTGTAATTACTGTACTGTGGGTTACTTTGGGTAGAGTCAGATTGAAAACAAGCAACTTGTGTGAGTGTGTGTGTGTGTTTTAACTCTGTCAGCATATGCTTACACTGTAAACTCTAAAAGTCAAGGCACAGTAACTCAGACCATTTGAGGAAACCGATTTCAAAAAACCATTTAAGTTCAAAGACTAATCCTAATGTGTACTGTGAACTTAATCCATTTGAGTAAATGAAGCAATGTGAGCCCAGTAAAACCTAATAAATGAAGAGAACTCAAACCAACTGTGTACTGTAAAACCCAAATAGTTAAGGCAACTCAAATCGTTTGAGGAAGCTGATTGCAACAAACCATTTGAGTTAAAAAACTAGTCCTGTGAACTTACTCCATTTAAGTTGAAGTAATGAGGCATTGAATGAACTCATTACCTTCAACACTGAGTTCAAAACACTTTTCAAATGAGTAGAATTAACTTTCAGTACATTTGGAGTTAACTACACTCATTTCTTTTGATACTGTTGACTGTTGGGTTTTATAGTGTAATGATATGGGGGTCAAAATAGTAAATATTAAACAATGAAGTAACCGCCTTAAATCAATCAGCAGGCTTTGTAGAGTTCTGAATACATAAATAATGTATTATTTCTGAACACAACTGAAATAGTGTCAATGCTGATAGATAATCTGCATATTTTTACTTATAGATAAAAAAAAAAAAACATTTTACACGAAGCCAGTAGTTGGCACCAAAAGTCCTCAAGTGACATATTGTACATGTAAAACAGAGCATCTTCATTCTTATATAAATAATGTAATAATAATAACCATTATTCATTTTATTTTCAACTTTGTCATTTTATTAATCAGGGGTCGCCACTGGGGAATGAACCTCCAACTTATCCAGCCTATGTATTATGCAGCGGTTGCCCTGCCAGCTGCAACCCATCACTGGGAAACATCCATACACACTCATTCACACACATACACTATGGACAATTTAGCTTAACCAATTCACCTATAGCACATGTTTTTGGATTTGTGGGGGAATCCGGAGCACTCGGAGGAAACCCACTCGAACATGGGGAGAACATGCAAACCTTCTTGTGTTTCCTCTTATTAATAACCACATATTAATAAATGTTTGCTTGCCATTTTAAACAGTATGAGGTAGGGCTGCACAAAATATCGTTTCAGCATCGATATCGCAATGTGCACATCTGCAATAGACACATTGCAAAAGTATGCAATGTTATGTCTAGATTATAGTAGACTAAGAGCTACAGAATTGTATTTAATCACTGCATATGAAATTTATATGAACTATGCAAAAAAAAGTTGTTCATACTTTTTAATTTCTTTTTTCTTTGTATCTAGTCCAAATATCTACACTTCAAAGTGAAAACAAGAATATTTTACTCTCCCCACTAAGGAAAGACCCCTAATTTTGCCTTATTTCATCTGACTTCTAAAACAAAACAATATTTTTACTTAACCTAAGTTTTATTTAGATATTTGAACTAGAAATGAGACAAAACAAAGAAAAGCATTTTGCATAGTGATTTATTAAATTTCTGGACCTGAATACTGCTCGACTCCCCTAGAAAAACATCAAATAGAGCTACTCAACTATCTTGTGAAACTGTATTTATATTGCTATAAATATCGCAGAAAAATAAAATATCGCAAAATCAGATTTTTCCAATATCGTGCAGCCCTAGTAAGCGGTGATTAAATTTTTTTTTACATTATGTATATATATATATATATATATATATATAATATTCATTTTTTATGTTTTTAACAAATATTTTATTTAGGTTTTTAGGGTAACCATACGCAGCAATTTATGATTTTAGATGGTGAATCACTGGTGATTCATCAAACGCAAGTAAACAGCTAGTAGATTACAAAAATCATATATATTTTGAGTCAATTTCAATTGAATCTTGAACGTTTCAAAAACATAAAGTACTGTCAAAATTTTCAATCAAAAATTAGCATTTTTATTAGCCTCCTTTGTTTGTGTTGAGTTATTTCACTTTATAGACCATGAAATGGACTTATTCTTTGCCATAAATGTGAAATTGCTGTACATACACACAGGAGCCTGATAAAAATGCTCATTTAAGAGGAAAATATTAGTCTGTATTTAGAGGTTTTTCCATCTAAACGCTTATTTTGTTTAAAAAGAAGGCAAATAAAACAAGCAACATTTGCTTCCATAAAAACGAGAAATAAGTGTGGATGGTGAATATGCAATAACATCAAGTCCTGCATCATTACATGCTTCTTGTCATTAATAATTCAGCTGAAGCTTTTAACATTGCCGCAGGTTCAGTCCTTCTCGAATAACCGACGAATATTCATCTCGAGCAACAACCCCCCCAAAACAGTTGATCTCCACAGCTGATCCTGTCCGTTTCCCAACTACACTTAACCATTACACAACGCTACACCAAGTCCAACTAAGTTTTGAGAAATAAATGACCCATGCGTGGATGGAAATTAAGAGATGTATAACCCTTGCCTGCACACACTCAGCTTCCAGCGTCTGAATGCCGTTTAATTGACCGGAAGCGGAGACTCGGCAGGTTACAGGTGCCGCATCTTCATCATCCTGACGCCCACCTGGCGCTCACTGCACTCGGACACTACAAAACCCGAAGCCTTTTAATCCTTCACGACACAAAGATGCAATCCGAATCAGCATCTCGTTTTCTGTCAGCATGGCAACAGATCCACGCGTGTCCACAGTGCAGCTCCACGGCACGGCGAGTTTCGAGTCCGGTGAGGGGTTGTACGGTGTAGATGTTTGTTTACATGAAGCGTGGAGTTATTCCGCGTCGTGTCCGTCGATCATACATTGTCCCTGCAAAAACAGAGCAGATCACGCGCTGCTCCCACGATGGAAGTCTGTGGCAGCTCCAAGTTTTCAAGCACAAGCATCTTGATTGGTTTATTCCTGCTTGATCACCCTGGCCCACAAGAGGGCGCACTTGTCAAGTAAGTATGAGATCAATAGCAGATTAATGCTGCTGTGATTCAAAATGGAAAACCTGTAAGACATGTTATTTAAATTTAAATAAATACGGATAAAACTTAATACAATGAGAAAATAAAAATAAGATATATGACAGTGTATCACTTTCACTGTTTTTTCAAAGAGGGGTGTTTGGCACCAAATGTTGGGCCCTGTCTGTACGGTGGTGGTCCCCTTACAACACCATGCAATCAGAATCAGGACTGAATTATTTTTAATTTAGTAATTTTCTTTTCGGCTTAGACATTTTATTAATCGGGGGTCACAGCAGAATCAACTGCCAACCTATCATATCATAATGCATATGTTTTTTGCAGCGAATGCAGTTTCAGCTGCAACCCATCACTGGGAAACACCCGCTCATTCACACACATACACTACGGACAAATTTACTTTACCAAATTTACCTTTAGCGCATGTCTTTAGACTTGTGGGGGAAATTGGAGCACCTGGAGGAAACCCATGCAAACATAGGGAGAACATGCAAACTCCACACAGAAATGCCAACTGACCTAGCCGGGGCTTAAACCAGCAGCCTTCTTGCTGTGAGGTGACAATTTATTATAAGGGGTGCACCCTTATGTAGGGTGGGGAGCTCTGTCACTCGGGAGGAGCTCGGAGTAGAGCTGCTGCTCCTTCACATCGAGAGAAGTCAGTAGAGGTGGATGCCTCTGGACACCTACCTAGGGAGGTGTTCCAGGCATGTCCCACCTGGAGGAAGCCTCAGCAAAAACCCAGGACATGCTGGAGTGAGTATATATCTCTCGGATGGCCTGTGAAAGCCTCGGAATCCCTCCTGAGGAGCTGGAGGAAGTTTCTGGGGATAGGGAAGTCTGGGGTTCTCTCCTCAGACTGTTGCCCCTGCGACCCGACCTAGGAAAAGCGGATGAAAATGAATGAACTGAATGATTAATCATTATTAGTATTTTATTACTAAATTAATAATACAACTATTTATTATAATTATTTAAAAAAATTATAATTATTTTATTATTATAGTATATTACTGTTTTTTTGAGTGTAAAAAATTATTATTGTAACAAGAAGACGTTAATATACTCAGTTCCTCTGTTAGGCATATGGCTCATAATATTACACATTTTTAATCATGTTAAAATGATCCTAATAGTCTTACAGTAGGCCTTTTTTATTTTAGGGTAAAAAATACTTGTTTTGTGAAAGTCATTGTCTACTTTTTGCCAAATGAGTTGTTGAAATAATAATTAATTGTTGTTGAATGGAAATACAAATTAGATTAGTTTATTTTATGTAAGGGTTGCACGATATTGGACAAAAGCTGACATCACAATATTTAGTTTGTCTGCAACATATATTGTGATATGAATCAAATTTTACAAGATGACTTAAAGCTCAATTTGGAATCAATTCATGACTTTGTATTGATTAGACTTATTTTGTAGAGGAGTATCTGCATAAAATACAATACATTTAAATAGATACAAATTAATTTTATGGTTTTCTATGAAAA